AAATGAGCTGGATGCACTTTGCAAGATTGCAGCCTTGACAAAGTTCTGTTTTATCTCCATGCTGTGTGTTACTATGGATCTTAATCCCCGAGTTGTCAGTCTGACCTCCCGAAGAGAGTTGTGAGAGGTTCTTCACCTCTCTCTAGGGCCCTGATGAATTATGACATCTGCCTGATCAGATCTGACGGTTTACAACATTTCCATACTGAAGTCATTCAATGAACACCTGATATAAAGCAGAGCAGTGATTATTTCCAGCCCTTCTCAAAAACAAAAAGAAATAGCAGATTGCTATGGAAACTTCTGGACAGCTGGAACTTCGTGTCTAGTGCAAGAACTGAAGCACATCTGTCCTGCATTATGTCGATATAAGCTTCACATTAGACCTTCTGAATGCCTGTGGATGATCAATACCTTGGGCAATATATATTGATTCTTGAATCTTTTTTTGAGTCATTTCTTTTTAAACGTTTCTATGAAAGTGTTTCAAAATGATATCATTATTCAAAAAATATTCATTGTAAAATGTGTACACGAGTTACCTTACTGAGCTATTTCTACCTGATCTAAACCATTATTGCAATAGTGTAACCAAATTTATTTAGGTTCAATTTTGGTATTTTACTTCTAAGTATATATAAATATAAGATCCTAGATAATTTTTGTTTTAATCACGGATATGTTGTGTGGTGTATTAGTGGAGGTGATGATCTGTGTTGTGTATATACATGAAAATTGTCTAGTATTTAAATGGAAATGATTGAATGATTTTAGTAACTGATCATTGGCTAATGAACGATGACATCAATATAATTAGTGATTTGAAAAGTGGGTGGAAGGATTGAATTGCTTTGCATACTGAGGAAGGCATTGAGTGGAAACGTTTGTGTCTTTTCCCATTAACGATGAATGTAAAATAAAACGAAAAAAGAAGACTGTTTTCGTGAGTGCGGATCATGATCTCCTACACTAGGTATTTTACTTCTTGCAATCAATCTACTCAGCCACAATAGCAATTTAGTTGAATTGGCATTTTCCACTTAATTATAATTTTACCAAAAACTTCCTGCAAAACGTCTCAGGTTACATATGTAACCATGGTTTCCTGAGTAGGGAACGAGACACTAGGGCCTTTCGCACCGCGGGAACCTTTTCATATTACCAGAACTAATTGTGGAACTACCCACTTTTGGGCGTGTTCGCACTGCCGGAACTGGGTGCGATTTTAGTACCGGACTGCCTTTTTTGAGAACCAAATTAGCTCCTACTCCGGAGCAGGGTCTAACCAGCACAACTGGTACTAATCGTGATGCAATTAGACATTGATTGGCCAAACGCGTATGGAAACGCCCTCACCCGCCATGATTTAAAACGCCGTGTAAACGTACTGTAAACATTGTGTCAACTTATTTTGCAAGTATGGAGAACAGCGATAGATGGACAGACGCTGAAGTGCAGGCACTTGTAGCAAATGTAGCACTGCCAGTTGTCCTTGGAGATTCTTAGTCCTCCTTTTCATTCTTTCAATCGCTTTACGTACACGTCGAAATTCCATGTCCATTATTGTGAAACCCGCGAGACACAACAAAAGCAGCTCCGATCACAGCGTCCTCCATCCTTCTGTTAATGTTGTTCTTCTTTGTTTCTGTTGTTGAACGCCGCGCACAAATGACGTCGCTGTCGACCGGCTTACGTCATTTCTTAGTACACACTGTCGGTGTGAAAGCAACCCTTTAAATGGTACTGAGAAATAGTTAGTGCAAAATCGTCCCAGTACTTTAGTACTGTACATTTAGTTCTGGAACTAAAGCGGTGCGAAAGGTCCTATTGGGGAAGTCGTGGCCTAATGGTTAGAGGTTGTGGGTTCAAGTCTCGTACCGGCAGGGATTGTAGGTGGGGGGACTGAATGTACAGCGCTCTCTCCCACCTTCAATACCACGACTGAGGTGCCCTTGAGCAAGGCACCGAACCCCCAACTGCTCCCCGGGTGCCGCAGCATAAATGGCTGCCCACTGCTCCGGGTGTGTGTTCACGGTTTGTGTGTGTTCACTGCTGTGTGTGTGCACTTTGGATGGGTAAATGCAGAGCACTAATTCCGAGTATGGGTCACCATACTTGGCCACATGTCACTTCACTCTACGTTTCCCCATAGCGACCCCTAGAGGACGCAGTTCAAAGTTCCCATGAAAGGGAACGTCTCAGATTACGTATGTAACCATGGTTCCCTGAGTAGGGAACGAGACACTGCATCCTCTAGGGGTCGCTATGGGGAAACCTAGAGGACGCAGTTCGAAGTTCCCATGAAAGGGAACATACAAATCTAATGTTTTCGGTGTTATTTCTGTATATTTTCCGGTATCCTCATCTGAAGTTACTCTGGTGTAAATGCACTTATAAGAGTGTTTTTGGCTGCTGTTGCTATGGTGACGTTCAAGCAGGACTATGGGCCATCCGACTGCCACTGTGTTTGTTGGAATTCGGGGAGGGAAACAGAAGGATGGGATCTCCTGAAACCGCTTTAAGAGAATAGCAACAACATTATCGTCAAAATACATTTCTTTAGATAATAATTTAAATGCAATAAACATAATAAGGGATAGTGTCATATAGCATAGAGAATAGCAACAACATTATCGTCAAAATACATTTCTTTAGATACTAATTTAAATGCAATAAACATAATAAGGGATAGTGTCATATAGCATAAAAAAATTACAGCACAAAAATGTACAAAATGCATGTACATTTCATCTTAACTTGGGCTGTAATGGTGAAACAAGGTTATGGATCTTAACAGCAGGGGAGTAAACATTACAAAGACAATGGACATATACAATATGGTAAAAACAGTGTAATAATTTGGACTATCATGAAGACTGTGGTATGGTAAAAACAGTGTTATAATTTCAAGACTGTGGAAAGACGACAGTTATGAGGGTGTCAGATCACAGGAATTTTGCATGATTTTTAAATGGTAGTTGTTTGCATTGGGGAAGGGGAGGGGTGCAGGAGTGCCAACAAGAGGAAAAGTGATTTTACCAGGCCACCAAGAATGAAGAAGACCATGAAAAGGCGTCCAAGAGTGGTTCTTGCATAGACGTCTCCATATCCCACCGTGGACATAGTGACCATTAATAAGTACACACATTCCCAATATGAGAGCGGTTGAGAGTTTTGAAAGTTTTCCCATGGATCCCCTGAGTTTTCCACCTGCCGCAGGAAGGAGAGCAAAAAGTGAATTACTGACAGATCTAAACACGATCCTCTACAGCCATCTACTGTCCATACAGAATATCACAAGGATGAATTGTGACAGGAACCAAACTGAGGATTTAGTGGCGATCAGAGTCTCTGCTGCCATCTAGTGGCACAGATGTCCTCTGGCACATCCTGATAAAAACAAAACAAAACAAAAAAAAACACGAAAAAAGAACCACAAACCACCAGTTCTTTAGATGAACAACAACACAAACCACATATGCCACAAAGGGACAGACGTGTTCCTCCCACGAATCTGCATGTGCACTCCTCTCGGTGTCATTTCTCCAGGGGCATGGGGAGAGAGGGGGGCGTGTGTGTGTTTTTTCACTCACCAGATGAATGAATCCTGCAGCAGTGAGCCATGTGCTTATGAAGATGGAACACAGGTTCACCAACTTATAAGAGTGTTTTTGGCTGCTGTTGCTATGGTGACGTTCAAGCAGGACTATGGGCCATCCGACTGCCACTGTGTTTGTTGGAATTCGGGGAGGGAAACAGAAGGATGGGATCTCCTGAAACCGCTTTAAGAGAATAGCAACAACATTATCGTCAAAATACATTTCTTTAGATACTAATTTAAATGCAATAAACATAATAAGGGATAGTGTCATATAGCATAAAAAAATTACAGCACAAAAATGTACAAAATGCATGTACATTTCATCTTAACTTGGGCTGTAATGGTGAAACAAGGTTATGGATCTTAACAGCAGGGGAGTAAACATTACAAAGACAATGGACATATACAATATGGTAAAAACAGTGTAATAATTTGGACTATCATGAAGACTGTGGTATGGTAAAAACAGTGTTATAATTTCAAGACTGTGGAAAGACGACAGTTATGAGGGTGTCAGATCACAGGAATTTTGCATGATTTTTAAATGGTAGTTGTTTGCATTGGGGAAGGGGAGGGGTGCAGGAGTGCCAACAAGAGGAAAAGTGATTTTACCAGGCCACCAAGAATGAAGAAGACCATGAAAAGGCGTCCAAGAGTGGTTCTTGCATAGACGTCTCCATATCCCACCGTGGACATAGTGACCATTAATAAGTACACACATTCCCAATATGAGAGCGGTTGAGAGTTTTGAAAGTTTTCCCATGGATCCCCTGAGTTTTCCACCTGCCGCAGGAAGGAGAGCAAAAAGTGAATTACTGACAGATCTAAACACGATCCTCTACAGCCATCTACTGTCCATACAGAATATCACAAGGATGAATTGTGACAGGAACCAAACTGAGGATTTAGTGGCGATCAGAGTCTCTGCTGCCATCTAGTGGCACAGATGTCCTCTGGCCAAAACTACTTTACTAGCAAAATATTGTTTCGTTCTCATACTTTTTGAAAATGTCTGAAATATGATTTGGACATGTACTTGACCTGTCTTGTGAGATTCAACTGTGTAAAAAATAATGTTAATGTAACATGTTTTGGTTGTTATAAACTTCAATCAGTTTATTCCGGCTTAGAGCAGAGAAAGAACCACCATGGAACAATCACACTTTTGTGTGTGTGAGAGCGAGAGAGATGTAGGTGCTGAAATGAGTGCATCACGAAGCAGATTAGAGAACAATATCACCAGCTTCAGCAGACTTCTTACATAAACAGCATTTTTCCTGCCTTCAGCCTCACAAACATAATCTATTCAGAAACATAGCAGCTTAGCTTCTGCTGCAATTCGTACAAAAATGAATCAAAAAGGTTCCGGATAAGATTCACCAGTTTCACTTTGCAGAAATATTTTTAAGACAAGTTTGATGTTATCTTCAGCAATAGGAAACAAAAACTCTTGCACAAAGTAAACAAGTGAAAAATTCTAACTGCACAGTTTCTGCAAATACAGTATTAAACTACAAGTTCCCAAGAAAGGATGTCTTACCCCAGTTAGACAGCACATGGAGGCAGCTCAGGCCGTCACTCTCTTTGCTGTCTCTTATCTGGCCTGGGCCCAACTTCACACGGTAACCATTCTGAAACAGGTCAGCACATGACTTTTTGCGCCGTCGGCTCTCTTGAACGGTTTCTGTGACCAGAGTGCCCTGTGGGCCCCGAAACACTAGCAACTTGCTGGAGATCATGATTCTGTGATCCTACTCCTTATTAAGTTCAGAAACGCAGAATGTGACGCTTCCTCAGAACTTAAAAGACGTGTAAATCTCAGATGTACTTGATCAAAAAAATCAAATTTGCTCAGAGAGAAAGAAACAAAGTTTCCCTAGGCATGAACGTCAGAATGCATCCAGAAGACTGTTTAACAATACTAAAAACCCTTCAAGTCTAGACAGTGACACCTGCCATTGGCTGAAAACCCTGACTGAAGCCACAATCTCTGACATGTTTGGTCTGATTTTTTCAGTATTTAACTCCCACGCATGCATCTTTCCTTTGACCCCTTCTCTGTTTTAGTGAGTTGATTAGATTTTGTATACACTGAACCCTTCTAGGGATTTCAAATGGAAAAAAAACTATCCTGAATTAATCACAGGGCTTGTACTAGAAATGATGTTTTCTCATGCCGTTTTTTGTAAACAGTACTGCCCACTGAAAGCTGTGCCTGGCATAAATGAAATCTGTCGATTTGACACTAATCGTCATACCACCCAGCCATATAAAACAATCACTTTTGCTTGCTTCATTTCGCTCATGTCCAGCAGTCGTCTATCTCAGAAATCGTTAACTGCTTTTGTTTGATTCCACAGACAAGTCCATATATCACAGATGTTTGCTTCTGCTGACATAGCAACAGTACAATTTATTTTGTCATCTGTATTTTATTAAAACATCAATTTGTAAATGCACCAGTGTGCAGGCATTTTTATTGTTTTATATACATAAGATAAGATACAGCAAGAATATGAACAAAGAAACAAAGTAAAACAAATTGACAAATACAATTAAAAAAATGAAATAAACAGTGCTTTAACTTTTCCATGAAGGTCTACTAACAGTCTACAAAAGAACTCTAATAAAGTAATCAAATGTAAATGAACACTGTAGAGTTTTCATTGTATGAATTGATAGATTAATGCTTATTAAAGCTAACGTTATTCAGATTGAGAGCTGTGAGTGATTTTCTCTTTGCATTTTGTTGTTTGATTAACACTGATGGCCCAAGCGCCCGTCACTGCTGTCACTTTAAGACACACATTGGATTTTCTCCCAGCTGTGTTTAAATGAATACATACCAAACACAGCATTTTGACATATTTGTGTGTGTATTTTGCTATTTAGGTGTGTACCCGAAGCCCAAAGTATATTTTGCTTGTCTAGTTGCGGTCCGTATTGGAGCGCAAGCACACATTTCAGCCTGGGGAACAGCGTCTCTTGCACGGATTATTGTGCTTTCAACATTTTATTATCAAACATGTCCCACAATTTAGCAACAGTAAAGACTAGGGTTGCTCCGATCAGGATTTTTGAGGCAGATCACCGATAGCAGTATCTGCCGATACGATCACCGATACCGATCTTTTTAAAGCCTTTTTATCTTGTAGAATTATTTATAGTGATGATCTAATCAAGATTTTTAGACATATATTTAGAGCCTGAATTTCATTTTTGAAAATTAATTCCCTTCTTAGGTGACTCTTGTGAGAGGGGATTTTTTAAATTTGAGGGGTGGAGGGGGGGGCGTTTTTTTAGACATTTTTCAAAAATATATATTTATCTCCTAAATGTTTGATTATGCACTGCATTTTTGTTTTGACAATCGTGCAATTGTTGCACAATAGCTTACACACAGCACAAAGCCTGATTCGTGAGCTGTATGTGAGGCAGTGTTACACCAGGTTCACACATACTCCATTTGCAGTGCGTATGCAGTCCATGTGCGGTACATAAGTGGTGCAGAAGCAGCTTTCAAACAGGAGTCTGCAACTGATCCGTGGCTGTTTACCACAAACACATTTATCCATTATTTTGATTTCAAATCCAAACATTGTTACTGAAAATGCTTTTTTCAGCATTGTGATTCTTTTTTTACACAGTCCAGTAATACAATCTTTCATAGAAGTGTTTAAACGCAATAAATATAAGAACCACATTATTCAATGCTTTTTACTTTTATATATAATTTTTTATATATTTAGTTGCTCAAGCAAGTGGCAAAACATTTAAACTACTTTTCTTACATTATCACAAACATTCTAAATTAAAACTTACCATTGACAGAAACAGTCAGCTTTACTGCCTTTTCTTTTGCATTTAATTCTTTATTACCAGCAATCCTGCGGTTCATAAAGAACTTTGTTTTCCTACCTCCACGAGTGCCATCTATTATTGCCTTGTAAAGTTTTCAACATTATGTTGGCTTCTAAGATAACTCTTTTTGACAACATTTTAAGGCAGTGTCACATGTAGGGATGGGTATCGTTAAGGTTTTAAAGGTATTACAACTAAATATATATATATATATATATATATATATATGAAACAAAATAAGAACTGAATTAACATTGCTTTATTTTCTAAAATGTAATACATATTTAATGAATTGAATATAAAACATCAATTTGTAAATGCACCAGTGTGCAGGCATTTTTATTGTTTTATATACATAAGATAAGATACAGCAAGAATATGAACAAAGAAACAAAGTAAAACAAATTGACAAATACAATTAAAAAAATGAAATAAACAGTGCTTTAACTTTTCCATGAAGGTCTACTAACAGTCTACAAAAGAACTCTAATAAAGTAATCAAATGTAAATGAACACTGTAGAGTTTTCATTGTATGAATTGATAGATTAATGCTTATTAAAGCTAACGTTATTCAGATTGAGAGCTGTGAGTGATTTTCTCTTTGCATTTTGTTGTTTGATTAACACTGATGGCCCAAGCGCCCGTCACTGCTGTCACTTTAAGACACACATTGGATTTTCTCCCAGCTGTACTTAAGATATAAACTGTGTTTAAGTGAACACTCTCCAAGCAGGCCATTTTGACATATTTTGTGTGTATTTGATCGCTTGGATGTGTACCCGAAGCCCAAAGTATATTTTGCTTGTCTAGTTGCGGTCCGTATTGGAGCGCAAGCACACATTTCAGCCTGGGGAACAGCGTCTCTTGCACGGATTATTGTGCTTTCAACATTTTATTATCAAACATGTCCCACAATTTAGCAACAGTAAAGACTAGGGTTGCTCCGATCAGGATTTTTGAGGCAGATCACCGATAGCAGTATCTGCCGATACGATCACCGATACCGATCTTTTTAAAGCCTTTTTATCTTGTAGAATTATTTATAGTGATGATCTAATCAAGATTTTTAGACATATATTTAGAGCCTGAATTTCATTTTTGAAAATTAATTCCCTTCTTAGGTGACTCTTGTGAGAGGGGATTTTTTAAATTTGAGGGGTGGAGGGGGGGGCGTTTTTTTAGACATTTTTCAAAAATATATATTTATCTCCTAAA